GGCCCAGTGGTCTTGCAGAGTGGGGGGTTGGGCAAGGCCCCTTAAGCCCCATCCCTGGTTTTTAAGAGGGAGCAGCACCGACACAGGGGTTTTGTGAATGATTTTCTTGTTCTGCTTTTCGGCCAGACCGGCGCTACAGGAGCAAGGTTGGTGCTATAGCACAGTAATTCTCCGAGCGTAATGAAAGCTGACATTATATCAAACACAATAAAGACTCTCAGCTGATGGAGATCATTCCTGAACACACAAACCCATTAAACTGAAAAAAAAAAATATCAATTCTACACACTCGCCAGCCAAAAGAAAATGTGATTTGTTATCTAAAAGGGGGTTATAAACACAGCTTCAATGCACTTTCTGTGCTGTAATGAAAACTGGGTTTGAAATGGCAAGACGACTGCAAATTAGAGTATTTGATTTTATTTTCTAACTTTTTAGGTAAACCTTCTACAAGGGCAAGTGCAAGGTTACGGTGACAATCTTTCTGTTCTCAGCCGATAAGTAGGATCTGTAATTAAAGGGGAAGAAAAATGAAAGGAGGATAAGGAGCTGGCGTTCACCCTTCTGGTGCTGCTTTGAACACAAAGCCCTGCCTGCGTGGCCGTGCCCAGCCCACGGGAGCAAGAGCCCACACGTGGCACGGCATGGCACGGCATGGCACGGCTGCTGCTCCCCCGCAGACACACACCCAGCAGTGCTGGGTGGAGCAGCAGGATGGGGCAGCAGGATGGGGCAGGATCCTGCACCTGGAGGGATGCAGCACCCAGGGCTGTGTGGCCGTGGCTGGGTACCCAGCCATGCTGCCATGTATCCCTGCTTTATCCTGCACCTTTCCTGGGCAGTCAGGAGCACAGTCCCTGTTATTGCTCCTGTCCATCCCCATTTGGCAAACAGCAATCCCCTTTTCCCTGGAGTTTCGTTTCTAATGGAGCTTGAAATTATCTGGGCTTTGTTATTCCTCATGTGCTTGCAGGCAGGGGTTACAGATGGAGGCAGCAGCATGGGGCTGTCCAGCACTTGTGATCCCCCTGCCACCTCCACAAATGTCCCCAAAACCACCGAGTGGTTAAACCCTGTCCCCAGCAGCTCCTACATCCACAGCTCAATGTATGGCTATTTTTCTTTTCCAAGGAAAAAGGGCCTGCTGGGCTCTGACCCTTCAAAGGGCCCTTTCCAACATCAAAAGCTGGGAGAGGTGGGAAGCAGAGGGGCAGCAGAAGAGGGGAGCTTCCCAGTACAGTGATGGAAAATGCAGTGAGGAAGGAGACTGGGAGAAAAACAACAGTAATAAACATTTTATGAAGCAGAAAATGGCTTATAAAGAAGTCAACTTTTAAAGGCAATTTATGTAATCCTGCCAAGCGCACATAAACAGGGGGATGGATCTCTGCAGCACTGGAGTGTTCCCTAAAGGCACAAATAGCTCTGGCAGCCCCAGCAGACCTGCACACAGTGATGATGATGATGGTGATGTTGGCCTGGGATGCATTCTGTGGCTGGCAGTGCAGATCTGCTCCTCTGACAGCATCCCCCAGGTCAGCACGGCCCCCACTCCCACACACTATGTGAGTGTGGAACACCTGAGACCCTGCTGATGCTGCTGGGATGGGGCTGAAGGTCTGGAAAAGAACCCAAGGAAAACTCGGGAGGAAGGCGGAGCACACAAATGGAAAAGAACTGGGAGAACATGGGGCTGGCTGGAAAAGAACTGGGAGAACATGGGGCTGGCTGGATGTCTGACAGGCCACATGGCAGCTTGTCAGCGAGGACGGATACAAAGGATGTCAACAAAAAATGCAACATGACATTTCAGCATTTTCATAGGTACTTCTGGAAGTCCCTTGCCCAAGCAAGCAGAGGACGGAAACCTGAAAGCTGCATTGCAGGGTGGGCTGGAGTCCTGGAACCTCTGTTTGCTCCTGGGATGGTCAGCACAGGGCAGGCTCAGAACCACTGCCATGGCCAGGGGACAGGATTGGGGACATCCAGAGCAGGGGGCCAGCCCTTATGTGTCTTGAAGGACAAACCCTCATGGTTCTGCATGGAGTGGAGCCAGACTATCCCAGTGGATCTCTGAATGGAAGCCTGTAGGCCAGAAGATTCTCACTGGGAAAACTGGTAGGCCAGGCCACTGCCAACAGGGAATTTTCTGTGGTTTCTTACTATACCAGTGCCAGGTGGTTGCCATGTCTCTTGGTGGGAGCCCGCTCTGGCAACAGGACCCAGCTCTCACCTTTCCAGAGCTCTGCCAGCCTTCTCCAGTGGGTGAATGTGCATCCCTGAGAGACCCTCACAGTGCAGGCAGGGAAGGGCATGCTCTCTCCCCACAGCCTGCCCACATCCCTGCCCACCGTGCCACTCTGAGCTGCCACTCAGCCCTGGAGTAAAACAAGCTTGAGGGAACTCATGAGGGTGCTCAGAATATGGGTGACCTTGGGGCCAAGGCTACTTTTGACCAAGGAAAAAGGCCCCATATCCAGAATTTATTTGGGGACACAGCCCCAGCTTGGCACAGCTGATAGACATGAGGGTGGATGAGCACAAGGAGCAGGGATGAAACAGGACAGGATGAAGAGATTGTTTAGGGAACAGGGAGGCACTTTGCAAAGCCTCCTGAGGTGGGAGGCTGAACTCAGCTCCAGAAAGGCCAGCATGGCTGGCATGCAGCTGGAAACACCAGAAAACAGCAAGGAAAAAGGAACTTTCCCCGTAGACATGGATCGTGAGTGATTGCTGGCAGCAGCTCCCAGCCGCTCAGGCTCTTGCTCCTGCTTCATTTTCCCCTGGACTTCCATAGCAACCCATCTGCAGTGAGGTTTAATGGGGCTGCCATTAGCACTAATGCAGCGCAAACGCTCAGCATCTGCCGGCGCCTTTGGATGGAAACACAAAAATAACCGCGCTCGCCGCAATCTGTCATCGACTCCGGCGCGGGGTTAGGACGCGACACGCTGGGAGAGGAGGGGAGAGCTGCAGCCAGCAGGAACGAGCTGCTCGGTGGGGAGGGAGGAAGGGAGGAGCTGGGATGCTGTGCTGCCCCTTCCCTGCCTGCTGCCCGTGCCGGCACCGGCACAGCTGGGGCAGCTGCAGAGCCAGGGTCAGCGGTGCTGGCACACGGCTCTGACCCTGCCCGGCCATCTCGGGGATGAAGGGCAGGAAAAGGAGGCTCAGCCCTGGAAATGAGATGTACAAAGCCCCTTCACCCCTCCGCTCTGCTCAGGAGCTGGGGCTGTTGCAGGCAGGATGAGGCAGGCAGGGCTGATGCCCAGCACCCTGGGGGCTGTGCACAAAGCTGGACCAGTCCATCAAGTGTCCCAGCCAGGCCTGGGCTGTCCTGATAAAGCTGCGCCGAGCTCTGCGGTGACGCATCACTGCACATTGTTTCTGGGTGACTCGCTCCTAATTACCTTGATTAAGTGGTTGCAAACAGTGCTATTAAAAATATTTTTTTTCCCTATGAAAGTGGATTTTTGAAAGGTTTGTGCCGTGAATGGCAAAATGAGCCAAGAGCTTCTCAGTGCTACAGCCTTTCCCAGCATGTTTTGTGTTCTGTTGTTATTCCCCTGGCAGTGGAAGGCAGCCAGGTCTGGTTGGAGAAGGAGCTCTCTGGGGCTACAAAGAGACCCTGCAGCAGGAGCCCATCCCTGTGCTCCAAAGGATGAGCAGAAGCCCCAAGCACTGCTACGAAATGCAGTGACCTTGTGCCACCTCTGCCTGCCCTGCACATGCCCTGGTCACAAAGCATCCAACCCTGGGTGCCGGCCCAGCATGGGGCACACAGGGCAACTACAATGTCCCTGGTACCCACAGTCAAGCTTCAGGTGCTGCTCAGGGATGTTTTCTGACCCTGGAGGACACGCGACACTGGGTCAACACTAGCGATGAAGATGCTCGCCCTGCACTTCTCTGAGCTTTCCTTGGGAGCCCTGAGCCAAGGTCCTGCTGTGGCACCAGCATTGGCATCAGCAGCTGCCTGCACCAAATCTCATTATCCTCTTCACCTCCTCTCCACTGGCCTCTTGGGAAGAGCTGACAGCAGTTCACCAGTGCTCTCATACAGACAGGAAGGCCCCTGTGAGCTCATCCTGCTCCTTGGGTGCCCGTGGGACACAGAATCAGCCACCAGCCTCCACCCCACGCTGGCCACAAGGCAAAGGAAAGCCAAGCAGGTCAACCCCTTGCCTCCTCTTTTGTTCCTCCCACCTCTTCCTCTCCCCAGCAAGCTCTGGTGACCATCACCTGTGGCAGGAAGGTTTGTGTGGGCAGCAGCAGCTCAGACTGTGCAATACCCCCACAATACAGCATGGCCTGGCAGTGGGGCTATCCCCAGGCTGTCCCCTCAGAGGATGCAGGAGGTTCCTCAGGGCTGGGCAGGATGCGGCCCTTGCCAAGAGGAAGGGGCTGGGTGGCTCAGGAATATTTTTTACTGCAGACTCCATTTGCACTGGGAGAAAAACAATCTTTCCTTCCTTTTGTATTATGGTTATAATTTGAGAGCATTTCCAGACAGAATCCTTCAGGTTCCTGCTGAGTGCTATCACCGCCAGAATTACAAAGTCAAATGCAATCATTAAACCCGCGTCTTCCCTCTCCCAGCCCAGATTGCTCCTTCCCCAGAACAGCCCCCGCCGCAGCTGCTGGCATGTGCCACCGATGAGCCACCGCTGCTGTCACCCCGTGCCAGGACCCCAGCACCAAACCCCGGGGCTGCCAGAGCTGGGGAGAGTCGGAGTCTCCTCAGCCGCCAGCCCTCAGCGCCGAGCTGTCAGCTCGACCTTCACCTCCTGCCTTCTCCTCACGGTGTGCGCGGCTGAGGCGAGGCTGCAAACGAGCTCAAATCACTTCATTTGCTCTCATTAGCGTGGCAGGCGGTGGGGCTGGGGCGGGCCGAGCACGGCACAGCCAGCGGCGACACACGACAGGGACGCGAACGAGGGCAAGGAGGGACGGCACAGCGCAGGAGGGCAGGGTGGGGGCGGCTGGCGTGCCTGGAGCCTTACCCGGATGTTGTCCTGCCAGTGGTGAGCCTTCTGGAATTTCTCCGCCGCGTTGGCAAGTCTCTGCAAAACAAGTGGGAGAGGAGAAATGAGCCTGGGGGAAGCAAGAGCACCCAGGCATCGCCCACACCAGCCCAGGAGCATGGGTGCCACCCCCACACCCAGCATCCCTGCCTGGGGGCTCCTGCAGCATCTGCCACCCCTCTGCTGCACTGGCAGGGGGGCGGGAGGAGGCACTGTGGGCAGCACCCTGGAAGGGTGTTCCAGGCACAGGGAGCCACTTTTTCCTGCTTGCTCCTGCCTTTCCTGGAGCAAGCCCGTATCTCCAGGGGAGTTGCTGGCACTTGAACTCGGCAGGGCTGAGCCACTGCAGCTTGGCAGCTGCTGGCAGCCCCCCGGAGCAGGGCCGGCTCTTGTTGCACAGGGCAAGGGGCTGAACACAGCTCTCTGTACTGACAGCCCCCAGCTCTGTGCAGAGCAAGGCAGACTCTTCAAAAATGCCTCAAAACACCCTCAAAATGCCCATAGGTGCACCGTGCTGCCCACCCAGATTTAACCCCTTTGTATAGCCATGGCCACACTGGGGTAACCGGAGGAAGCAGGATTTGCTGAAGCAGGATGGGGCAATGCTCAGCACCAGGGTACCCTCACTGGATGCTCAGCCATGAGACCCCTCACCAGCACAGAGGGTGCAGCAGGGCAGGGCTGGAGACTGGGCAGCCCCTTGGGTACTGCAGTGCCTGGAAGAAGCTGCAGTCTGGCCTTTTGTGGAATCAAAGGGGATAAACAGGGCAAGAGCTCCAGGCTTTCTACAGGATCCTCTCCGCATCACTAAGAAAATAAAGCCAAGAGCAAACCAGCACGTTTCCCTCCATCCCTCAACCAGCCCCAGGCACCCGGGCAGCCGCCTGGGGAGCTGCCTGCCAGGGCTGTGCAACCTGCTGAGCACCAAAACCCAGTGCGAGGCAGCCCAGTGTCCTGAGCCAGCCCACAGAGCCTCCCAAACCCCACTCACTGCATGCCACACTCAGCACAGCCTGCCCCCAGTAGCCAGCAGCCGTGCAAGGCTCCCAGGGAATACACACTGCCAAGTCTCAGCTCCAGGGGCCAGTCTGTACCGGGCTGAGAGGCTTTCCAGGCTGTTGCAGTCCCTAGAGGGCTCCCTGGAGAGTTAGTGGGAGACAGACCAAGCAAAGATGTACAGCACAGGCTCCTGCCTCGCCTGCTCCTCATTTCCCTGCAGATCTATTTCCCTAGAGGGGGATGGACATGCTCTGCTCCATGCAAGTGGTGCTGGCAGCCAGAGCATGGGGAGAGAGCTGAGCCCTGGCTGTTTTCACACACTGAATTGGCTGGGAGGAGGAAGGAGCACTGACAGCGTGGTGACATCTTGGGTGAAATAACAACCCCAGATCACTGTCTGGGCAGCACCACAGAGATTCACATAGCGAACACAAGATTCCCAGTGCTACACACACGACTTCCACGCCATGAACCACAAATCCCAGGATGAAAAAGCATTCCTTTGCTCATCAGGAATGTGGCAGGCTGGTGGGAGCCCACAGGGGCAGCAGTGAAGCCCAGTGATATCCCTGGGAAATTATTTCCCCAGGGCCTGAACGGTGGGCAGCTATAAGAGCACACACACATACGAGCCCTGGGCACAGCCACAGGTCACAGCTGCTGTCCCCACTGTCACCAGCTTCTCCAGCACTCCCTTCAGCACACAGGGATGCAAAATGTCTCAGCCCTTCCAATTGGCTGCTCGGGGGAAAGGAAGCCCCCAGGTGCCAGAGTGCCCCATTGCCCATGCAGGAGAGTGGCAGACCCAGCCCTGGCAGGGTGGCTTGAGCAGGGCTGTGGCTGCAGATTCTGTATTTCTGTGAGCATGGCAAAGCACAGGCACTCGAAAGTAAGGTGAAAGAAACCACAGATCTGGCCCTCCCCAGCCTGAAAATGCAGCTGGTTCTTATCAGATGCAGGGAAACACGAATCCATCGCTGCATAATCTCAGCACGTACTGGTTGAAACTTTCCTGTTTAATCTTTTCTCTTTCTCTTAATCTTGATTTCTAAATCAAAGTGCTTGCTTTCAGTGGCCAGCATCCAAGGGGAAAGATCAGCTATCAGCTGAATATTGAAGCAAAATCCTTATGGCTCCAGTGGCAGGCAGAAGGGAATGAGAAACAACACGTGGCTGGACAGAAAAGCCAAGTGATATGAATTTTCAGGGCAGTTTTTCATGGTCTCACCTGCACAGCCATATCCCTGCCCCCAAGAGCTGCCTAGAAAATCCGTGGCCCAATTCTGTACCTCATCCCCTCCAAGCTTTTGTGCTCTGTTTATATGTTGAGATGGCTGATTAAAGACAAGCATTTATTCTGAGCTGCGTTTAAGGCAGTGGTGATGAAATATGCATTTTTCTATACTTGATAAGAGTGTGTTTGTTTATTATGGGCTGGGGTAAGATTTATGGACATCTTTAACTATTCATCGCCTTGTGCAAAGTGCCTGGAGGGCTGCAAATGGTGCAGTAAGGGACGGCTACACCCAGGAACGACACCTCGACAGGAGATATTTTTCCTCTGGAAAATGTCAATTTGTCAAAGTCAAACCAAACACAATTTTGGTTAAAAAAAAAAAAAAAAAGGAAACCCAGATGTTCTTGTTCGATAAATAGCAGGAATGGGGGAGTCTGCAGCAGGATGGCACAGCCACAGCAGGGTGCTGTGCTGGCTCCTGGCTGCCACTGGATATTCACCCAGGAGGAGTGTCCCCAGAGCCCTCCAGCTGTTGCTCCTGGAGCATTTTCCTCGCTAAACACATTTCAGTGAGCAAGATGGTAACTGGGAGGAGAGAGAGGCCAAGCAGGCAGCCAGCATTCCTTGCTCTGCAACAGGGGACAGACCCAGAGTGGTGCCATGTGTGGCTCCCATGGGAGCAGTCCCACCCTGTCACATCCCTGACTGGAGCTAGATGGAGCCCATCCAGCCCCTGCCCAGAGATGGGCTGCTGTCATGAACAGGATGGGGGATTGTTGGATTCAGGACCCTCCAAAACTGTGCCAATAACAACGTGTCCCCCAAGGGGGCTCTCTGGGACAGCAGCTCCTGGAGGTGTTTGTTAGGACAGGTTTGTTGCTGGTCCCACAAACCCCACTGACAGCTCCCCAGGGAAGGTGACGGGTCTGCCTGGAGCCACACACTTCTGCAGGACGTCCCCATTAATGCCAAATGAGTTCATCATGAATAATGTTATTGTGATCAATACAGCTCAAGGATTATTTCTAATCCTTAATAATGATTAAACCATTATTTTTCAAGTGTTACAGATCAATCAGACCAGCTCAAGGTGTGCTGCGTGCAGGGACTGTGAGATACCCAGGTGACAGGAGCCTGGCAGGGTACAGGGCAGTCACCAAAACCTCTCCAGACTTCAGACCTGGGGTTGTCAATTGTGGGGTTCAAACAGCAATAAAAAATAGAGGAATTACCAAAAATAAAGCATGGGTGTGAAATACCTGCTGATTTCCAGCAGGCTGTGGTGCACAGACTGCCCTGGCACTTTAAGGAGCACGGTTCTTTCCCCAGAAGTCACCCAGGGCTAAGGACAGGAGATTTAGAGGCTGAAAACACTGAATTGAAATGACTCTGAAGGTCACGAAAGGCCAGCAGGAGATTTGCAGGGGATTGGTGTCTGGAGATCGCGACAGACAGCGGGCTGTGTGAGGGGAAGGTGCCCCAGACTCATTTGTATTCCTCATGGAGCCCTCTCTGCTCGCCAGGGCCGGCGCCCGGAGCTCCCTGCTCAGCACAGCACCTCGCAAGCCATTAAAGAGCCTTGGGGACACTCAGCATGGGCAGGTGGCAGCCACGGTGGCATGGCTGGGCACACACCCTCCCTCCCAGAAGATGGGCAGGAAAGGAAAGGGGCAACAATTTGGGTGACCATTCGTCTGCCCAGAGGATGGCAACTCCAGACACATGGCTGCTGCTTTTCCCTGGCTTTGCTCCAGGACCTTGCTACTCAGCCCAATATCCCACAAGCTCACTCACCCCCCCTGAGCAGGGCTCACCCACGTGTGCTCACCCCCAGCAGCAGCTTTTGGGGACAGCTGGTCTGATAGGGAAGCTGCTGGGAGGAACACTTGGAGCAGCAGAGCTGGCACAGGCAGGGACCACGACCTCCTCTCTAGTGGAGGGGACCCTCCCTGCTGTTGGCATCCCCACTGCTTGAGGGGCCAGCACGCTGGAGGATTGTCCCTGATGGAGCAGACACCCAAGGGGGATGCTCAGCTCCTCCTTGCCACCCCTTCTCTCCCATCACACTTGGGGCTATCCTTCACTGCTCTGATATTTTCACACAGACTCTTTCCAAAGGGAACTGGTCCAATGATTTACTAAATCTCTTCTCTCAGCCCCACCATGGCAATAAGCGTGGCCTGGCTGCTCCTGCCTCAGGCAGATCAGTGGGTTTAACTTGGGAAGCAGCAGAGCAGAGCTCAGGGAGGCCAAAGACCAAGGCTGGATTTATAAAACGGGATTACAGCAAACACTGCAGAAGGAGACTGAGCAGCCCTGTGTAACAGCAGCTATGCCACCCCTGTGTCCAAGCCTCCACACAGGTGCCCCAAGCCTATGTGGATGTTGGGGGATGTTTTTTAGGTAGCTTGGGATGGGGTTCCTGGCTTCTCCCCACAGCCAGTGTGGAAGCCCAGCCACAGCCCATCACGCAGCAGCTGTTGTGTGCCTAGGGATGTTTGCTCCAGGGAGAGCCACTCCTGCTAAGCCTTCCTTTAACTCCCTCAGGGGGACTCTTATCACCCTCATCGCAGCGCCTCGCCCAAGGCTCTGAATTGCATTAACCTCGAAGCCCAGCACACAGCTGGGAGGGGAGATCTGTGCTGGAGATTCAAACAGCCCTGCACTGCCAGTGGAGAGTGCCACACAGCATCACACCTGCCAGCCCTCCTCCCATGGAGGGAGTGCCACACAGCATCACACCTGCCAGCCCTCCTCCCATGGAGGGAGTGCCACACAGCATCACACCTGCCAGCCCTCCTCC